TTAACATTGGGAGACATGAATAAGGCTTTGTTATAAAGAAAATGGGTGCCACTAAGGACTTTCTTGGCAAGAAATTCAGAGATAGGAAGCACAGTGTTTCCCTTCTGACTTTAGGGAAAGATTCTCTTGTTATGTTTTGCCAAGCATAGATGGCTCTCTTAAGGAGGTAAGAAAATTCTTACAAGGTAGACCTACATTTTCTAGAAATTTAAAATAATTATTACTTAATTATTAAGCAAACTATGATTCCTTAAAATAATGACATAAAAGCTTTTCCTCCCCTTATCAAAATAAGCTTTCCTCTAAGAATAGTCATTCTTGAACTAAATGCAGATTATCCCTTCACCAAGGCAAAAAACCCATCTGTCAGTGCCAATTTAGCCTATTAGTAAAATAACGTGCTTTACATAATGGTCATTTAAAAATTAGACATTATCAAACTGTATTTGAAACTATATCATAATTGTTTATTACTTCAGACATGGACATTTCTAAAGAGGCAAGACACACAAAAAATCATTGCCTTTTCTTGAAAATAAAAATAAAATCTGTTATTTGAATACTACCTTTTAAGAAAGACAAAGTAAATACTTAAAAACATTTACAGAATAAAAAAGTAAATATATTACCTCCTACATCTATGAAGTGTTTGGCAGCCAAGCCAGAACGTGGAGCTAAAAAACAAAAAAGGAGACATTGGCTATTTTATGGGACAGAGGCAATATTGGATGTAACTGATGTAATTTAAGCATATCACTCTCCTATAACACCTATATCTTCAACTTAACTTTAGCAGATGGTTCTGTACTAAAGAACATATTTATCATACTATATTATCAAAGTTAGAAAGACTAGTTTAGAAAAATTTGACAAGGTTTTAACTTAAAACCAACTTAAGTAACTCTCACAAAACTTCAGTCAATTGAGGATTTGTATTACTGTAGACATGGGACATGGAATGCTGGAATGAACTGAAGGTGAGCAAATGGAAACAAACATAGATTGCTCTTTCAAGAAGTTTGGCCACAAAGGGGAAGAGGGAGAGAGCGAGAGAGGAGAGAGGAACAAACTTAACCAAACAGTAGCAGAGCTCAGCCTAAAACTTGGGATGCCCACACGTGATTCAGATGCCAAAAGACATGCCTGTATGAAACACATTAACCATAATAAGAAAAAAAATGCAAAAATTCAATTCCAGTATGCTTTTAGACTTAAAATGAAAAACTTAAAAGCTAAGTTTACACCTTATCCTTACTGATTTAATCATCAGGCCTATCATTAACTATCCTAACTTTTAGTATTTTATTTCAGAATAATTTAAATCGGGCACTTTGTCAATAAATGTTGCTTCTTCCTGCCTTGATATTTATTTCACTCCATTTCCTGACCTTCCCCCATAGAACTTTAAAAATGCAGTCAATGCTGTCAAAAAGAGATAAGGATCTTGCTCTTCCTTTAAGGGCTAGAGTATTAGCAGTTTTCCCACTTGTGACTAATAAGATAGTGCTACTCTGGCTTCTTTCCCAGGACGATGGGGGGCACAGTTCCATATGCCCATTTATGTTTACTCTGAAGTTAGTCAAAAAGTATTTATGCTCTTGAAAAGAAGTTTTGAACTCTCTCGCTAGTGACAACTGACTTGCTCCAGTAAAATCAGTAAATCCGTAAAAAACCAGTTGACACACACACCATTTTGTCCTATCTCCTCCCAGTATGATGCATTTCTCTTTAGAACACTAAAGACTTTGTATCCCTTACTACAACACCATGGGAGGATAGAAAAGGGTAAGTGGAACCAAAAGGGGTCAGAAGTTTTACTATCATAATATAAAATGCCATGTGCCATCATTCTAAGCCCCTCTCTATTTTCTATGCAACAAATATTACATTCTCATGACTGTCTTCACAAAGTAATCTGATCTCATATGCAATCTAATCCCCGAAGGAAAAATTGACAGTAGCATCAGAAAAAGCTCCAGCTAAAAAAATCACCTAAATTTTCAGTTCTTCTCACAGTGAGGAGGCAGAAATAAAAAGGCAAAAAAGACAGACACAAAAGCAGATATATAAATGGAGGTTTTCAAATGGCTATATTTACTATCACAGATGGCACTTCTTTATTTTAGGACACAGTGCAAACAAATCCCTTCACTTACTATCCCAAGTGAAACTAATTTGAAAGAACATATAAAAGAGCAAGACACAGTTACCTGTTCCTTAAATCACTTACCTACTCTTCCATAACACCCAGAAGGAAGCGCTATCTGAATGTCCGTTTTCACAAGGGCTTTCTCCATAGGTGGTATTGTATATTCATAGGCACTAAGATGATATTAAAAGAAAATAACTGGCATTTATTGATAATATTGTTTTTACATTTTCTTACCTTGTGACCAAGCATATCGAATTGCTTTAAACGTATTTCATAAAATATCTCACATACCCTTGGTTTCTATAACCAATCTTGCTAAGATGAATTTGCAATTCATCTAAAAAAAATTTATAAAGAAAGTAGAAGTAGCTATTTTCCTTCAGTTTATTATTAAAGAGGACAGCTTTAGATAAAATAATTCTCAGTAAATTTTTTTGGCGGAGGGAAGGGATGTCAACATCGTAAAACGATTTTGCCCCTGAGCAAAACTTTGTTGGGATATAGAGATAATATTAGCATGAGGAGGATGAAAGATAGATTTTTAAAAGGTATGTTTCACTAACACAATATGAAAAGAGGAAAATGAAGAACCAAGAAAAAAGAGCAAGTAACAGCTAATAATAGCTAACAATGATTAATCTGCTACTATGTGCCAAGCACAGTTCTAAATGATTCCGATACATATTAATTCGTTTTATTTTCATAACAATTCTCTATATGATTAGGAAAAAAATCTGCAGGAGAAAATGGATGGACAAAACAAAGGGATGGGGGTGAAGGTAAAACTGTGTTGCATCTGATATGCTTGGCTTGGTAGTTTACCAAAACACTTATCAAGCTATGGCCATGAACTTCACTTGGCTGAGGGAGACGGCTGATCACTGTCAACAGTCTCTGGAGGTGGACATTGCTGAGGAATTGATTCTCTAAGATCCACCTGGCAAATGCTGCTACTATCCTCCTTGATAGACACTTAAAATTCTACAACGAGCAGAACTGGAAGTTACTGGGCCGGCCCGTGGCTCACTCGGGAGAGTGTGGTGCTGGTAATGCCAAGGCCACGGGTTCGGATCCCTATATAGGGATGGCCGGTTGCTCACTGGGTGAGCGTGTTGCTGACAACACCAAGCCAAGGGTTAAGATCCCCTAACCGGTCATCTTTAAGAAAAAAAAATAAAAAATAACTGGAAGTTACTTTGGAGACCTTAAGTAAGTCTGGTAAAGCAGTACTATATTTCCACTTTTTTCATTGGAATTTTCTCTTTAAATAGTTAAGCTGTAATTTATTAAAGAGATCAGTTATTCTCATGTCAATTTCAGTACATAGAAAATCACCTGTGTTTATCTGGAGGATGTTTAAAGTATCTAAAACAAAAGTCTCCCCTAGGACTCATGACAGTGCCCTGACATATACTTGGGAAGGGCCTAACCTAAACTACATTGCTCAACTTTTTCCCTTTAGATTGAGAAACTGTACTATATCCCTTTTGGCTACAACAGTCTATATCTCACTTTTCTTTTTTTCTTTTCTGTTTCTATCATCACACACTCTTTTCTCCCCTTCTCCTGTATGACTTAGAACAGTAGTTCTCACATTTGAATTAACTGTGATGCTTTAAAATAAATCCTAATGTGTGGGGTTTAGTCATATAAAAAACACTTGCTCCCTTTGAGCATCATTTTTCACCTACCTTAATGGATCTAAGAACTGGGCACAGGAGTCAAATGAAAAAAAAAAACCCCACCAAATTCAAGGTAAAAATTTCTATTACATTCAAGCCCTTGGGCAAATCAATTCACGAACTCCCTCATCTGTAAAACGTAACACTTGTCTACTTCAGGATTGTTGTGAGGATTAAAATAGCAAATGGATAAGGTTTCAGTACAGGTAAAGAGTTCTGTACAAATGAAAGGGTGGTAGTATTACTGGAATCTCTGCTTTTCATCTTCTGACGCTTTCTGGAATTCCCGGTTCTAGGGCCGAATGGGTGTATAGAGAACTAACCCTTTTAGGCAGAAGCAGCCTTCATTAATCCTCCTTAGATACTGTCATACTTCCACCTTGGCTTTTCTTTCTGTTGAGCACAGCATTACCCTCAGGCCACTGCTTGAAGGCTCCTTGAGCCTTATTCATCTCTACCTTCCACTTGAAAAGGGTACAACAAACTCAGCAAAATAACGACTTGGTAAACATCTTATAGACCTTTATTTACCATTCTGCATGTTTTGCCCAAATCCCTATTGAATTTATGCTAAAAAAAAAAAAAAAAAAAGCTAAGAACCTCGACATAAAAAAGGCAGCATAAAAACTGTATATATACAGTCTCAGGGAACGCTTCTAGCTGTGGCCACAGATGGTCTGAATATAAGCTAACACGCCCTCGAGCCCTAAAACTCGGAAAAGGGGCTCGCCCGGGCTCGGAGGTCCCCACTCACCTGTACAGGTCATAGCCCGCGGCCCGCGCCGACCCCCGGGTCGGGGCCGTGGCGTGTTCCGAGAGCCGGGCAAAGCGGAGCCTTATGCCGCCCTCCTCCGCAGGCCGAGCCCGCTTGCTGGGGGAGATGACGGGGGTCTCTTCAGAGCAGGGCATGGCAGAGCGAGGACGCGAGAGGAGACAGTCGCCGGAACAAGAGAGCGCGGAATGAAGCGCGCGCAGAGAACACACCGAGATTTAAATTTCCCGCCAACTCCTCCCCGCCGGGCCCCGGGCCCCCTGCCCCCTGGACGAGCCCACAGTTCTGGCTAAGAGGGGAGGCGGGATTCAAATTTGGTGCTGGAAACCCTTCTCGGAAAGCAGGTTTGGAATCGGAAACTACTGAGCCTTTTCAACTTTTTAAACTTTGCAAACTCAACGCAGGGGGCCAAAGTAGGGGGCAGCTTCGGTGGCCTCGCACCCACACAATAGAAAGCCCCCGACCCCATCAAGCGGCCCATATGGACTCGCTCCTGCGCCGGGAGCCGGAGGGCTTCCTGCGGCGCTGCAGGTTCCCCTCGCCTCCGCTCTCCTCCCAGGACCCGGGCCGGGCGGGCCTCTAGCATCCCACGCCTTAGCGTGCCCCTCCGGCTTGGGCCCCCGACTTTCGTGGCTCCGCGGCAGCCTCGGCTCAGTGGGCTAGTGCTGGAGAACGGTCGGAGCATCCTGAGCGGTGCGGTTCCCCGCGGGGCGTGGCCGAGGAGCGGGCCTGTCAGGGAGAGTCCCGCGGCCCCGGCCCTGGCCCCCGGCCGTGCGCTTCGCGCGTCATTAAACACTAAGCGGAGCAAAGACGGAAGGAAGTAGTAGCGGAACGCGGGGCAAGGGCGGACGGGAGTCATTTCTCCGCGGTCTGGGCTGGTTGGCTCGTCAGCACCCCCGGACGCACGCCGCGCAGTGACCTCGGAAGCAGTCGCCGCCGCCGCCGTCTGACTGGGGGCGCACGGAGGCGGCGCGTAGGCCGCCCTGGGCCGGCGCAGGCCCTGTGTCCCCGGGAGCCCGGCGCCCTCGGCGTCTGGCATATTTCTGCCTCCCCCACTGCAGTTGCCTCCCGCCCTCGCCCCTCATTATCTTCTCGATCCCCATTTTCTGAGAGTGTCCGTCAGGCCCGGGCTCTGCTCCTCGGCTGATTTACCAGGGGTGGCGCCGCCCGTGGCCATGACTTTCCAGGCTCAGATCTCAGGGGCCTTCAAAGCGGTGGAAGCGCATCACGGTGGCGGTAACAGTCGCTGCGCCCCGCGCCGCTCCCTAGGCTGTGGGCAAGACAGCGTGCTCGGTTTCCTTACGGCACCGAGAATGCAAGACATACGTTGTTTATTCTTAAAGGAGGGGGAGGGGGTCGTCAGGATAACCGCAGGGATGCCTGAGTTAAAATCCTGGCGCTAAGGATGACGACACCGGAAGCACACGGGGGGGGGGGAACCCTATGGTCAGGATTCGAACGAAGATCCTGGGCCACGGTGGTGTAACGTACAGCGAGAATGAATAACTTTCTTAGGGGATTATGAATTGATTTTTCTTGGATGCAAGTATCGCCAATTATCTCCGGAACTGACGCAAAAGATCTCAAAACGAAATTGTAATGAGCTTTTATTTTCAAAATGCGTAGAAGCTATAGAGCAGTTTTAGAGGAGTGACAAGGAAAAATGTTAGGGTGGTGTTGAAGTTTTCAGAGTTCTTTGCTGGGCCTTTTCTTACAGGCCTCGCATTTCTATCTTCACTGGCTATTCCTCATAGATGTTGGAATTCGTCTGGATGAGGTGGTGGGATGTACTCTTTACATACTCTAAGCGTGGCTTCAAATATCTATACCCTGAAGACTCCCCAAATTTATACCTGTAGCAATATGATCTGAGCCCTGCCACTTTTCTAACCTCATCCTGAGCAATCAACCCGCTCATCTCTGGTACTTCTGGCCACACTGGCTTTTTGACAGTTTGTAGGCCTGCCAGACTTTTCTGCCTCAGTTTTCGATCCCTATCTTTCAAATTGTAGTTAATCTCAGAAGACTTCCCTGACAAACAACTGAAGTGGCTGCCCTGTCTTCCCCTTACCACTATTTTATATCACAGTAGTTAGGGTTTTTTTCTATTCACACCACTTGTTACTACAATCTGTACTTCTTTGTATTTATTTTTAATAGATCTGCTACATAACCCGCGCCGCTTTAGAGAAGCCCAGGTACAAAATGGTGCTGCCCACCTCCTCCCCTCCC